TCCAGTAAAGGGAATCTGCAAAAAATGTGATTTTAAGTATATATATGGGTATATTGTCTTTTAACAACAAGAGGTTGTATGCACAAAAAACGTATTTTGTTTTACATATACAGGTGAAACTCGAAAAATTAGAATATCGTGCAAAAGGTCATTTATTTCAGTAATGCAACTTAAAATGTGAAACTAATATATGAGATAGACTCATTACATGCAAAGCAAGAGAGTCCAAGCCGTTATTTGTCATAACTGTGATGATTATGGCTTACAGCTCATGAAAGCCCCAAATCCACAATCTCAGAAAATTAGAATATTACATGCCATCAATAAAACAAGGATTGTACATAGAACAATATCGGACCTCTGAAAAGTATAAGCATGCATATGTACTCAGTACTTGGTTTGGGCCCCTTTTGCAGCAATTACTGCCTCAATGCGGTGTGGCATGGAAGCTATCAGCCTGTGGCACTGCTGAGGTGTTATGGAAGAGCAGGAAACTTCAATACCAGCCTTCAGCTCTTCTGCATTGTTTGGTCTCATGTCTCTCATCTTTCTCTTGGCAATGCCCCTTCGATTCTCTATGGGGTTCAGGTCAGGCGAGTTTGCTGGCCAATCAAGCACAGTAATCCCACGGTCAGTGAACCAGGTTTTGGTGCTTTTGGCAGTGTGGGTAGGTGCCAAGTCCTGCTGGAAAATAAAGTCAGCATCCCCATAAAGCTTGTCTGCAGAAGGAAGCATGAAGTGCTCCAAAATCTCCTGGACGGCTGCGTTGACCCTGGACTTAATGAAGCACAGTGGACCAACACCAGCAGGTGACATGGCTCCCCAACAGTTTCAACACAGACTGTGGAAACTTCACACTGGACTTTAAGCATCTTGCAGTGTGTGCCACTCCATTCTTCCTCCATACTCTGGGTCCTTGGTTTCCAAATGAGATGCAAAAATTGCTCTCATCAGAAAAGAGGACTTTGGACCACTGAGCAACAGACCAGGTCTGTTTTTCTTTAGCCCAGGTAAGGCGCTTCTGTCGTTGTTTGTTGTTCAGGAGCGGCTTGACAAGAGAAATACGACATTTGAAGCCCATGTCCAGGATCCGTCTGTGTGTGGAGGCTCTTGATGCACTGACTACAGCCTCAGTTCACTCCTTGGGAAAGTCCCCAACACTTTTGAATGGCCATTTCCTGACAATCCTCTCCAGGCTGCGGTCATCCCTGCTGCTTGTGCACCTTTTTCTTCCACACTTTTCCCTTCCACATAACTTTCTATTAATGTGCTTTGATACAGCACTTTGGGAACATCCAACTTCTTTTGCAATTACCTTTTGAGGCTTTCCCTCCTTATGGAGAGTGTCAATGATGGTTTTCTGCACAACTGTCAGGTCAGCAGTCTTTGCCATGATTGTGATTCCTACTGAACCAGACTGAGAGACTATTTAAAGGCTCAGGAACCCTTTGCAGGTGTTATGGCTTAATTAGCTGATTAGAGTGGGACACTTTGAGCCTAGAATATTGCACCTTTTCACAATATTCTAATTTTCTGAGATTGTGGATTTGGGGTTTTCATGAGCTGTAAGCCATAATCATCATAATTATGACAAATCACGGCTTGAACTATCTTGCTTTGCATGTAATGAGTCTATCTCCTATATTAGTTTCACCTTTTAAGTTGCATTACTGAAATAAATTAACTTTTGCATTATATTCAAATTTTTTGAGTTTCACCTGTAAGTCTGTAAGGTGTGCCTATAGAGTCCATTCAATAGGAGCTGGCGGAGATACTATTTTTTCTCCTCCAGTTTATTATTTTTTTTAATATTTTGGATGTGGCACTCTGAAAGTTTATAGCTTACTATATGAAGTTCATATAATATTGTTTATATGACTCAGCTTGTATCAAATATGTAACAGAGTTTAATGGACACGGGACTTTAATATCCCTACGCAGCACTAATTTGTTTTTCACATGAATGGAACTACCTGCACAGGAATGCACAGAACGCCCGTGCATTCCCAAGCAGCCGCTGTGTTCCAGTTGACATCAATGGGAGTGCCTGCCTGGGGATGCACAGAACACCTGTTCATCCCTGTGCACCTAAACATGGCCTCGCTGTAGTATGCTCTGTGTGAACCAGGCCTTAGGCCTGGTTTACTCTTGCAGAAAAAAATGCGTGGTTGAGCTGCACTTCTGCGGCCCGCCAACTACGCCTCTTAAGCTGCAATAGGCAGCAGATGAGGGTATTTAGATTTGCACCCACAGCAAAGTTGACCTGACTTGTAGTGATACAGCCTTCCAAACATTACATATTCAAGTCAATGTTGAAGTGCAGCAAATGCCCTGCAAATGTGCTGCAACCGTGCAATGCACACGGTTGCAGCACATTTGTCAGCAAAAATGGGGTTAAAACAGGTGGTGAGGAGGCATCTAATTGCTTCCTCATCCAGTCAGCAGCCTCTGGAGCTCAGTCCAAATTCAGATCGGGCTTCAGAGGCAAGGGAGATTTAGACGCATGTCTAAGTCTACTCTTACTAGGCTTTTATTGTTTTGGGTCTTTTTACAATAGGTACATTTTTTTAAACATTTTTTTTACCTTTTTTTTTTGAGGGGGGGGGGCTTTGGAGAGACATCAGGGGAGAGAAGCAGAGGAGGGAAACCAGTAACTGCAGAGCCACAGGGGACTGGTGCTGGTAATCAGTCAGGGCTGGGGGGGAGGTGTTGGTGCTGGGGGGTGCAGGAAAGGGGCACTAAGGGTGGAGGGGGCATTTAGCAGCTAGAGATAGAAAAGTGGAGAGAGAAAGGAGTGGGTGAGAAGCAACTGGGGGGGGGGCACATTTTAGGTTAATAGCTCTGATCAGTGGCTTGTTAGCCACTAATCAGAGCTATTGCTTTGTTCATCAGATTCTGCTCAACAGTTCTGATATAAGTTCATGATCACTGAAGTGACCATGAGATTATAGCAGAAGGAGGAAATCAGGTCTGTGCTGCATATGAACCTGGCTAGCTGAAAGCACTGCTGTAGGTCTGTAGGCAGCACGGACCTGGCAGCAAAAGGCTTAAGGCATATATTACATGCTTAGTATCTCAAAGATGTGAAGACATGTTGATTACCATTGGTTGCTAAATTTGTTCCATATATTCCCCCACCCTCACTGTGAGGGTATTGATAACACTTACTGTATGGTGGTTCTCCCCAGAAGATTAACTGGATCCTTATAAACCTTAGGGAGGTAGTGTATTATAGGAATTCAAGGAGCTATGAGTAAAAAGGTATTATCATTCTTTTTTAATAAGAATGTTATCATACCATCATACAAATCTTTCTAATATTGAAAGGTGGGATCCTTATTCAATGGAACATATGTGTCCTCACTCTTCCTTATCTTTTCAAAAGGACAATACCTCCCCCCATTGAACTTTAATGTTGATTTTTTATATTTAAAGCTGGTGTTTCTCCTGTTAAAATGTGCCCTAGTAAAAGTGCTTAAACATTGTGTAGGGAAACCATACAAAATGTATGCTTTTATGTTAAATAGGACACTATAGTTTTTATTTCTTGCTTTAAGTCTTTCTGGTCCCTCTTTCTCCATCCATGATGCACTAAAGTTGCTTATATAGTCTGAATCAAGTCTATGCAATATTTCTGTTTACTGTGAAATACAACACTTAATTTTGATTTTTTTTCTTTTTAGGGTGAAAATCTGTCCGTCTGCCCTTCTTAAACTGTGGCTTACAAAGCTGGTTATAAAGTTTGCATTGACTCTAATTTCTTTGGCATTTTTCTTTTTAGTAATAAAGTCTAATTTGGATTTCTTGATTAAAACGGCTGACTTCCACTGAATCTGCAGTCCAGTAAAAGTGCTTACATATTCTACGTCTACTTCGTTTTAAAATTCATAGTTTTGTGTACGTTTTGTATTTTTTTTAATTGTATTTCATTTTATTTTGCTTTGTTGTATTTTATTAGTATTTTTTCCAATTAAACTTATCCAATTTGGGACTAATTTTTTGTTCCCCATTTGTTAGAACACTTAAATCCACAGATCCCTCTCATGTTTTAACTCCAACCCCACATCTGCCCATGCCTCTCACTATCTATTTACATTTTAGTCACCATTGTAAGCACCAACATCCATCCCAGACCATGCCATCAGTCTGCAATTGTAAAAAAAAATCTGAAAGGCCACAGTAATCTCTGAGCATCTCCTCATCTCCATTCAACACCTCCTTAAACCCAGATATTCTATATTGCCGAACGTAGAGACGCCTGCCTGCCTTTACATGTGCATGAACTTTAATGGCATCCTAGTGTTAGTTTGTAGGGTTCAAGATTGAGTTGGCCCAGCCTTTGCAGCTATAACAGCTTCAGCTCTTCTGGGAAGGATGTCCACAAGATTTTGGAGTGTGTCTATGGGAATGTTTGACCATTCCTCAAAAGTGCATTTGTGAGGCAGGCATTGATGTTGGACCAGAAGGCCTGGCTCACAGTCTCCGCTCTAATTTATCCCAAAGGTGTCTTGTTGGGTTGAGGCCAAGACTGTGCAGGCCAGTCAAGTTCCTCCAACCCAAACTCACTCATCCGTGTCTTTATGAACCTTGCTTTGTGGGAACAGTTTGGGGATGGTCTTTTCCTGTTCTAACATGACTGTGCACAAATGCACAAAGTTGGGAGCATGAAATTGTCCAAAATGTCTTGGTATGCTGGCTCCTTAAGAGTTCCCTTCACTGGAACTAAGTGACCAAGCCCAACTCCTGAAAAACAACCTTACATCATTATCCCCCCTCCACCAAACTTTACACTTGACACATTGCAAATCAGGCAAGTACTGTTCTCCTGGCAACCACCAAACTCAGACACTCCCATCAGATTACCAGATAGAGAAGTGTAATTCATCACTCCAGAGAACAGGTCTCCACTGCTCTACAGTCCAATGGCGGTGTGCATTACTCCACTGCATCCGATGCTTTGCATTGCACTTGGTGATGTAAGGTTTGGATGCAGCTGCTCGGCCATGGAAATCTATTCCATGAAGCTCTCTATGCACTGTTGTGCTATTCTGAAGGCCACATGAAGATTGGAGGTCTTTAGATATTGACTCTGTAGACTGTTGGCGGCTTCTGTGCACTGTGCACTTCAGCATGCTGTGACCCCACTCTGTCATTTTAAGTGGCCTACCACTTCGTGGCCGAGTTGCTGTTGTTCCCAGTTGCTTTCACTTTGTTATAATACCACTAACAGTTGAACGTGGAATGTTTAGTAGCAAGGAAATGTCACAGATGGACTTATTGCACAGGTGGCAACCTATCACGGTACCATGCTTGAACTCATGGAGCTCCTGAGAGCAACCCATTCTTTCACAAATGTTTGTAGAAGCAGTCTGCATGCTTAGGTGCTTGATTTTATACACCTGTGGTCATGGAGGTGATTGGAACACCTGAATCCAATGATTTGGAGGATTGTCCCAATACAATCGGCAATGTATTATAGATCTGCTTTCTTTCCCCAGTTACTTCTCCTTTGCCCCTGCTCTGTTCTTTATATATAGTCCAGCATATTAACAGCAGTCAAACCTTTACCTGGTCACTCCGCCTCTGCTCAGTTCAACACAGCCCTGCTTAATTTGACAGTCCATTTCCTGTTGCTCAAATACTCCTCCTGGTCCTTTCAACCTAGCTTAGGATAACATTAACAGTACAGTACACATTGCCATTAAAAATCCCTTTAACCACCCTCTCACTTGTTACTTCACTGCCACTCTCCATTCCAATTTTTCTTTTCCTTTTTCTGCTCTTTTTCCTCACACCCATCCACAACCAGTCATTTAGCATCACATCTTATTTTTTCTCCTTCTCTGCTGTCGCAGTTCTCTTTATAAAGCTCTACTGTTCCCAATGTGCTGTCATTACTACAGAACCCTATTATGCCATCTCTCACCTATCCATTAAAGACTACCTTGATCCACCACAATTCAACTATAAAAAGAGTCAACCTGAAACTAGTCAGTCAGAAACTTGAAATATCCATTATGAAAACAATAAACCTATAAGAGTCACCAACAAATGTGCAACATAGAAGAAAGATCCCTTTACAGAAACTCACTTTTTCCCAATTCAAATTGGGCCTCTCCAAAAATAGAGCACACAAAATACCAACTACACAGGACCAAAATACAGATATTAGGAAACTATTCTTCACCCTGGAAAAAATATTGAAAGATGAGCTCCACCATAAGTCAGTTAAGGGCCTTCTAAATACATATAAATATGTAAATAATACAGATAAAGGTCTGGGGATCTAAGCTTTTTCCAGACCATCATACATTTACAGGAGGAATGATGCAACTATCTAGAACCCTGCTCAAGGAGCATGATGGAAAGATTGATCCTGAAAAGTTCTAGAATATATAAAAGATGCAAAATAGATAGTGAAAAACATACTAAGTCTCCTTACTACCCATAAAAGATCACCCAGACTACAAAATTTGCTCCAGGCAAATGAGCAATATACTGAAGTTCAAATATGACCTAATGCTGGCAAAGCTTAAATTTAGAAGAGACTGACTAGAATAACTAAAACATAAAGAAATATTCAGAATAAAAAGAAAGAACATAGAATAAGCAGATAATGATGCCACAAGAACTCCCATAGGAATCCATAATATCCAAAACAGCAAACAAAGAGTATGAGACCTCTACACAGGGAGATATAAAGAAGGTTGACAGCCCACAATGACTGTCTCTGATTAGCTTGTCATGGTGGGTAATGGTGGGTATGAAAGACTTAAGAAACAAGAACAGTCCAGACCAAAGAGGCCAGTTACCAACACATGGGAAAGAGGAGGTGCAGGAACACAGAACCTTACACATCATGGGATAATCTTCACTAACCACCATACATGTGCGGTTAATTTAGTTTCTAATCAAATTGCAGACAAATATTTTCTTTATTCAGAGATTTGGATGTATCAGAATTCTGAATTACAAAAATAACTAATTCAAACAAATACAAAATCCGAAATGAAATTTGGATGAAATTCTATTTGAAAACAAATTCAAAAACAAATTCGAATTCAAAAACAAAAATAAAAAAAAATATTCAAAAATGTTAAGGATTGGTACCTTTGGGGAGTTGGGGGGAGCAGGTCACCCAAAATTGACAGGTACCCGCTCCCACTTTGCTGTGATCGCCTAAGGCGATCAGAAGCGGAAGTTGTCCTCCCCCTTCCCTCCCCGTTATCTTCTGGGAGATGTGACAGGTCCCAGAAGACTATGGGATCCTTCACAAAGTGCAGCCCTTCTCATGCATGCGCAGTGGGCACCCGGCTGTGAAGCCGCAAGCTGTCACAGCCAGGTGCCCACACTGAAGATGTCGGTGCCGGGAACACAGAACGGCGGGTGAAACAGGCTGCGGGGAGGACACCACGAGATCGAGGGACAGGTGAGTGGCTGTTTTTTAAAAGCCAGCAGCTACAGTTTTTCTTCATGCCCCTTCAAATTTTTCTATCACTGCTGTCGAAAATGAACATTGATTTGATCCCACTACTGATTAGAAAATCAAACAAATATTCTTGAAATGAATATTCGTGGATGAAAATCTACACACTATGTCTAGTCTTATTCAAATTTGAAACAACTTTGACTGATTTAGAAAAGATTTCAATCGAATTCAAAGTTCAATTTTTTTTCCCTTGAATTAAGCTGGCCATACACATGGAGATTTTTCGCCAAGAATATTTGTAAGAAAAGTCGTGTGAAAATTCTTTGCCCATTCGATGAATGTAGTTTGAAAATTGCCCTTTGTTTATAACATTCGGTTTTAAAATTAATGTAATTTCTGAACACTAACCACATACTGTCAGGAATGGACTCGCCAATGGTGGTGGGACTCACCTGCCTTGTGGGCTGCAGTACCAAGGCTGGCCAGCGGGTGCTCTCAGCAGCCATAATCTCACTCCTGCAATCAAGCCAGCACCTGAGGCCACCTCCCCTCGTACCCCACACAGCAAGGCCCTGTAAATTAACCAAATAATCACTTTTCATCCTAAGACAGATAGGGGGAGAGGAGAAAAAAAGGAACCGAAAAAAAAAAGAGAGGGGATCCAGAAAAATACCAAACTCACACTAAGTAACTCATTGACAAAAGAGGCAGACAGAAAATCTATTCACATGCCGATATCAATCATATGCAATATATCCTGTGCATATTCTCCACCGAGCAATCTAAACATAATAGTAATAAAAAGTCAGTGGAAACATTCACATTTCTCACCAAAACAGTCATCTGTCGGGGGAATATAAATAATGTCATCAATCAAGGCCGGAGTGATTCATCCAGCGGGAATGAACCGCCCATCCCGCGGCTGGCACATATCGTGCATGCGCGTCTATCTCACTTCCACCTTTACCAGTAATTGGGCGGAAGTGCATCCTCACATCTCAGAGACGGCCATGACACCTATATGTTATCTTTAATAACCCCACAGTCTCAGCTATATGCACCTTAAAAGCGACCCTAAGCACAACAGAGGAGTTCCACATAGTGGCCAAATTTGGCCATCATTCGACTTCCACCACTTCAACTCCACCACCTTGGTGGACCCAGGGCCAATGGCGGTCCAGTCCACCAGATATCGTCCATAGCTGAGTGTATAAACTACATCTATTACAATCTCATGGACAGAGTCACATTTACTGTATTTATCAACTCCCCCGTATTTGAGAAATCTACAGGACTACCAATGAGGACGACAAAGGGGCCAAGGGCACAAATATCCACCCAGACCAGACCACAAGTATCCTCCTGTCTCACAGCCAAACTTAACATGTGTGAACTATCTGTGGACCTAAATCATTTAAATACGTAAGGGAACGTGAAAAAATCACTTTGCCATAAAGGACCTAAAAACAGAAAGTTTACATCAAATAAAAGACCCTACCTATCATAACCAACAACAGCGACACAGATGACAACAATTTATTCAGAGACAGATTATACATCAGAAATAGAGGAATTTATGAATAAAAGCATTCCTATAAATTCAACAATCTCACTAAAAAAAGATAAAAACCCCTCACAACCTGTAAAATAAGGAAGGAAAAGCTCTTAAGTCGTTACAAAACACTCTTGAACTCATCATTCATAGTCCTGACAAAAGGTGGTATTGTACTGTAGAACAGAGATGACTACAATAAGAAGCTCATAGAATTCTGAACGATGAAACTTACTATCATAAACTATCATACAATCCCTTGAAAGACCACCAGAAAGAATACAACCTCTTTATTAACACAGTTTTCAACAATCACATCATCACAAAAACAGAAGAAAAGAAAAGACCACCACTCACAACCATTTTTTTACCACCTCCTCAAGATGCACAAGGCCCTTATTGAAACCCAGGTTATCCTATTATATTGGGCATTGGATCACTCACCAGTAAGCTACCAGAATTCATTGATTTCCACCTACACCCATATGTTACAACACAACCTTCTTCAACTTACTCATAACCATACAATGGAAAGATACCTATCACTGGATAACTTTGGACATCACTTCTCTATTCTCTATATACTGTAGCAATATACACTAGGCATTAGAGCAGTTTCAAACTTCCTTACCGTTGATACACTAATGCCAGAGAGACAAAAGGACTTCCTAATGGATAGTATCTGATTTATCCTTACCTATAAACACATTCTCCTTTAATGACCAGTTCTTCACACAGAAGAAAGGCACAGCTATTGGGACCAAGTTTGCCTCCAGCCTTGCGAACCTAGTAATGGAATATATTGAGACAAACCTTTGGAGCCAACACACTGAATATCATCCTATATAAACTTTTTTATTGAAAATCTTATAATCATATGGAAAGGCTACATGACCAGACCCTGAAGGTAGATATCTCTTCCTTAAACTTACATTAAACAGCAAAAGTTACACTTTTGCTTACATGTATATCAATAACGAAGACCAAATTGCCTTGAGTAGTAAATATATTCAAAATCTCATGGAATTTGCTGAGGGTGTGAGTTTGTTGGCTGATAGGACTTCTGTGATTAAAAAATGCTTCTCTTCACCAACAAACTTTCAGTGCTCACCAAACCATCAGGACCACATGTACTGTGTACTATGGTTGCTGCATTAAAGTTCCTTATAGGGGTGTCTATTTGAGCTTTCTATTGTATTGGAGATGAGCAGCTCGACCTTCTGGTTATGACTTTTTTATACCCAATAGAGGTCTTGTTTATGCTAGAATGTTATAACAATTTGTTTTAAAAAAAATATTTCTTATTTTTTGTATAGTGCACTATAGTCTACTTTCCAAATGTTGAATTTCGATCCTTTCCCAAAGAAAAAAACACAACATGAGTGAGTTCCAGG